AAATCAGTCTGCCTTTTCCGCTCACATCTTTCCATGCTGTGCGTTCTTTTCTGCACGTCTCCACGATCTTCATTTCAATTTGTATAACGGACCCCATATCTCTATGATAATTTTGCTGTTCCCCCTAATTCTCATGTTCTGTGTATGTATCCAGTGCATGTCTATATAGTTGGATGTACTCTACAATATATGTTAGCTAGTAGAATGCATGTAGAGTAGTCAACATTTAGGCAGCATTTGCCTTCAACTAACACACACCTCAGATTCTGCTGTTGCCACAAATACTTAGAAAAGAACGGGTGGCAAGTCTTGGCAAAATGCAGCCAGTGTAACAGCAGTTCACAGACTTGTAGGAGGTTAATACTTAGATGTTGCATGCTTTCCTCAATTTTTCTCCCCTATGGGTATCACATGAACATAATGACTCTGATAAAAGCCAGTTAACAACTATAGGCTAACTCAGTATCCTCACTGGCAAAATGGGAATTAGTATAGTAATGCTCATGGTAGGTAATGCACTATCATGGTAATAAAGATACTGTCTTTCATTTATACAGTATATAGATTCTGGTCTCAGACTGGAGTAAATCAGGTGGAACTCTATCTAAGTCAATAATAGAGTTACACAGATCCATGACCAGTATGAGTGAATGGTTTCCATAGGCTTTCAGATTTCTTGAAGATCAGCAGAAAAGTACTTTACATGAGTGCTGGAAATGTATTTTCTAGATATCGCTTTTTCTTTTCTTTTCTTTCTTTTTTTTTTTTTTTTGCTTTTGTTTCAAGATGTTTTAATTGTTCTTTCTCTCTGCAAACATTTTTGTGCTATGCTAGTATTTTGTCAGTTTGGAGACAGATATTGAATCGAGGCTACGTACCCATGCTGATCTGCCTGGTGGTGGAAGGCTGCTCACTGTCTTTTAAATGAATGCCACTGAGACAAGAAAGCAGGGGAGCCCTTTCAGTGTGGAATGATGTGGCTAGTCCACGAATGAAGAGATAATGCTGCATGGCTAACTGAAGTCTCAGAAAAGTTCTCTGCCTGTTGCTCTCCAACTGCGATGGGCGTTCTCTCTTATCTGTGCAATGCTCAGAATCCCAAAGGCTGATTGTGGTCTAAGGCATGTTACTCTTGGGTAGCATGGAAACCCATGCACAGAGCAAGTGCTGGCTCATCTCTTTGTCTTGTGGAGCTCTTTAAAGAAAGAAGGCTCACATTTTATTTTTTTTAAGAATGAGGCATGTGTACAGACAGAAACAGCTCCACGTTTGTTTTTCTTCGGGTAGGAAGAAAGTTAGCAATGCTACTGCTATAGCTGAATTCTCAGTCTGTCTTAGATATGTTTGCAGTCCTAGCATGCATTCCATTTCCCGTTTCCATCAGCAGTTTTACCCGTCATATTGTGTGGATAGAAGGCATGTTTAAGAGATTGAGGGCCAAATTCTTAGCCAGTGTAAATCAGCATAGCTCCGTGGAAGTCAATGAAGCTAGGCTGATTTACACTGATGGCCCTGTATCTCTACTGAAAACTAGTGTCCTTAAATTGCTAGCTATTGTGATTGATGCTCGAGAGCTACCATTGAGTGTGGCTGGTATGAGACTGACATTATGCTTTGTAATGCTTCCTCTGCTTATGACCTGGATTCAGTCTCCAAACAATCAGCTACCCCATCTGCTTTCTCTGTGTCTAGTGATCTTTAATGCAAACTGCAGAAACTAACCATTCTCAGATGTTAGGCATCATTTGGTTTCTTTGCCTTTTATTTTATTTTTTTTTTAATAAGGAAAACTTAACTTGTGATTTACCTCTGTTTAGCACATCTAGTCACAGCACCTGGAGAATCAGACAGCGAAACAACACTTAATCCTACCAGCCCAGCACCTACTGAGCTAAGTTACTTAACAAACCCAAGCACTGATTCTCACACTCTGCTTTCAGTACCCACTGATTTTTCCACCCTGGAATTCACTGTCCAACTTCATGACCTTAAAATAACGGGCAGGACTTTCAATAGTTTCACAGTATCCTGGGCAGCACAAGATGCGTTATTTGATCAGTTCTTTATCACCCTGAAAAGCCTGCCCAGTTTAAACAGGACCCAGGAAATCTCTGTGCCCGGAAACCTACGAGAAACAGAATTTATCAATCTCACAGCTGGCACACAATACCTGATTAATCTCCGTGGAAGCACTCAAGGTCAGCTCTCTCAGTCACTGGATGCTCTAGCTGCCACAGGTATTTTCTATGGATTTTGTTATCCATATGTTCTCATTTCTGCTTTGACATTCTGGGTTTCATCTTGTACTGCAGTTCCATTGCAGAAATGCCAGGCTTCATGAGAGATGGCTTCCTTCTGAAATTATTTTCTGCATGGGACAAAACTCCTGTTGCTTTGGAATGAGTTATGTAGCATGGACAGTTCCCCATCCAGCTTTTGAAGGGGCATAGCATTGATTCTCCCTTTACAGATTGCATGCAAAGACGGGATTCGATGCATCAGCTATTTACAAGACACATGGAAATAGCAGGATATGTGACTGGGTTTTGTTTGGATTGTGATCCAAACAAAGGGAAGATTGCAAGGAGGTAGTATCTGGCAGTGTTTCCATGGAAGTGGTGATGTCTGAAAGGGGGAAAAAAAAAGATTGTAACACATTGTGAGTGGGGATTTTCAGAGTTTTTAAACAGCCTCTTATTTTCCTTTTGCACATTCATTTCTCCTTGAGCAATACAACAGTAAAAGGAAACAACCGTATAAACTCTGAGTGCAATTCACTAATGATCAGGTACCAAGATGCAAATGTAGAGTTGGAGAAACAGACAATAGACTAGTAATACTCCCTGTCCACGTGCCAGTAACAAAATCACTGGTATGGAAATGGCTAGAACAGTCTCATCTTTTTCTACGACGTGTTATATCTTTTTTTTTTTAACCTAAGAAACATCATCTCTTCATCTCACTCCCCATGTTGTTGTCATCTCTGTTGTCATGTATGGTCAAGGCTTTACTGGTGAGGCTGGCCGAGCTCCCCAGCAATTGGAATTGGTGCATTGCATGATTTGTGTATGAGAACAGGAAAGCATGATGGGAGTTGGATGCATTTCCAGATCAGACATGCATGTCCCTGAACAGGAAACTGAAAGGAAAAGTGTTTTTGTGAGCCTGCGTCTTGGAAGAGAATGGAAATTGAATTTTATGTCCAGGGAAATCTGAATGGCTTTTAAGTTGTTATGGCATTTGCAAAATAGATAATGTTTTTCCTTGAAAGACTTCGCTGTGACTTGACTTCGTTTTTTGGGGGGAGGGGGGTGTATTTTGATTTTAAATTAATGTCTTATTTTATCTCTACTGCCATCAAATGATCACTGATTTCTTTTCCAGCCTGCATTCTCCCTTTTGCATTATATCATAACGAGTGTCTGATCCCTATTTTTGTTAAAACAGCTCATGCAAAGTTCTTGAGCAGCACTGATTTGAAAAGTTACTCTGTACAGTGTCATCTCTTGAGGGTCAAAGGGAGATGGGAGGCAGCTAGTTGGTGCTTCAGTGGACCTGAGTGATACCACTTTCCTATACAGAGATATAGGGCCTGAGTATTCAGAAATCCAGTTAAGTCAATGGGAGCTCCCATTGATGGCTCAGCATTTCTGAAAATTAGGCCCATACTGTATGCATTAGGGCATGCAATACATGCAAGCACACATACACTATGTGCAACCCTTACTTTACATGATAAGCAACTACACAAGTAATCTCATTGGGCCTGGTTCTCATTTACACTAAGGCCCCTTTACACCAACCTGCCTTAAAATGGGTGCACACCTTTAAAGCACCTTACATCAATGTGGCTTAAAGGAACCTTGAGTATAACTGAAAATCAGGTCCTAGTGGAACATCTCTCACGAGTAAGTGCTCAGCAACGTGTGTAAGGGTTGCACAATCAGGCCCTGTCATCATTATTAGGGCTGCTCTACCTTGCTTTCAGCCATTGCAAATAAGAGAGAAGAGAGCTATGGAATGAGCCCAGTCCGAAAGTTAGCCACAGATTAAAAGAGGAGATTCCCCATGCATAACCAACAGATAAGAAGATGCTATTTTCCAGCGTGACTTTGAAAAACGTAATGTCTGTCACTTGTCTTCCCTCACCACAGGAGGGCTTTCTATAGCATGTCACTGAGATTCTTCTTTTGAAATAATAAGCTTGTCTTTTTAAAGAAGTTATTGTTATCTGCCCTCATTAAACTTGTGTTAACCACAATTAGGGCAAATCTCTAAAGATGGGCATGTACGGGCAAAGAAACCACTATTCATTCTTTGTCATTTTGAATTAGGAATTGACTATTTGAAAACAAACGAAACCAACCTTGCTTCAAGTGGACCCCATTAAAAACATAAACTTCACAGCCCTGGTACTTACGGGAACTTCTGTATCTGTCTAACCTTGGAACAGGAAATACAGCAGTATCACAATCACTTTAGAGTAGCAAACATTGAATTGTTAATGGCAGCTGTAAGATGGTTCTAGAAATACTGACTTGCCTCACAAGGAGGTTTAATTAATGTTTTTAAAATGCTCTAAGCTCCAAAGCTGCTTCCTACATGAAATATTATAGTATTAAAATGATTATTTATTATTGTTGCTCTCTGCTTATTGTACAGCTCTGCATTGCCAAGTCTCAAGGAAGCTTTCCACTGAGTTACCAAGGGCAGACATAAATCTAGAAAAAAGAAAAGGAGGACTTGTGGCACCTTAGAGACTAAGAAATTTATTTGAGCATGAGCTTTCGTGAGCTACAGCTCACTTCATCGGATACAGACTAACACGGCTGCTACTCTGAAACCTGTCATAAATCTAGAAGTGTGTGTAATAGTGCATCTATAGGAACACTAATTATAACTGAAATTCATTAGCCTGGAAAGTCATCCGGTAGCACCCCAATTATTTGTTACTTTAATCTGTAATTTGAGTAACTAATTGACTCTCTGTCCATATTCAGAGGAGGAACCTGAGCTCGGAAAGTTTACAGTATCGAAGGTTAGCTGGGATGGTTTCCAACTCAACTGGACAGCCGCAGAAGGGGCCTATGAGACTTTTGTCATTCAGGTGCAGGAGCCTAACAATCCAGAAGAAGCTCAGAATCTCACAGTCCCAGGCAGCCTACGCTTTGTGAATGTTACTGGCCTCAAGGCTAACATGCCCTACACTGTCACACTTTATGGTGTGATTCAGGGCTACAGGACCAAACCCCTTTCTGTTAACACCACAACAGGTACCCTTTCTAATTTATTCATCAGTTTCCATGCTACTTCTTTCTTTGCAGAGAGGCATATAGGCCAGCGCTATTGCAGTGTCCAGTGAGAGCTTGGATGTCTGCACTCTTTTGCATGAGCACCCTTAATCCTCAAGGCTTATCAAAGCTTGGCTGAACATATCATGCCTGGAAATGTCTCGTGATGATCAGATTTTCTAATGAGAGTCTCAGGGCCACCATGCTGTCATTTGCTTTCAGGAGCTCCCATTTGTCCTCAGAACAACTTATTTTTGCTTATTTTACTCACTTCTCTGGTTGGAACTAATTGCAAGACCCAAATGTCCATTGCACATGATCAGAAAGAGCAGACGTTGTCCTGTGAAACCTGTGAAAACCTGACTTTATAGCCCAGATATTCAAGGCCATGAGCACTTGTGTTTCTTGGATTCCAAAAGTTATGTTCAAAACAAAGCACAAAAAACAATGTGGAATTACTGCTAATAGGTGATCTCATCTATTGGGCTGTTAACCAGTATGAATCTGTTACTGCTCTCACAATGTGTAAATCAGGAGTAACTCCACTAAAGTCAACAGAATTACACCGGTGTAAAGCTGGTGTAGCTGAGAGAAGACTCAGGTCTTACACAACCAAAAATTGCGTAAAATTATCAATAATAATGAAAGTAATTTGTATGACTCATCTCTACACCTTTCATTGATATGCATTCACCTTTCACTGATGTAAATATGGTATCTGGGTTGATGAAAAGTAGAGATGGGCACTAGTCTCCACATTCATAACCAGATCTTGCATCCCTCAAAGATGTTCCATGGTTTTGGTTCAGGCCTATCTCTCATAAATAAAAAATAACACTGTTTTAATGATCTACAAAACTCTAAATAATTAACCCTCAGATATAGAGAACCTAGACCATGTGTTCCATCTGCCAAGTCAGATATTTGATTTTCTTTCCCTTCCAATTTGGATTTTGTCCCTCATCTTCACCTTGCAGATTTTTTTTTATTTGCACTACCTGTTCTGTACTTGCAATGGATTGCAGCCACTCTCATTTGGCTATGCCTTAGGAGTATATCTCCTGCAACCCAGTGCACTTCTACTGTAACAAGTCAAACATATCCTTCCTTGGATTGTTCCATGCCACTGCCACTTTTAGATACTCAGAAAGACTATAATTAATGGGGCTTTCTATATCTCATTTACTCAGTGACAATGGCTGGGACACAGTGGCTCTTCCTTCAGATGCACTAACAATCTGTTTCAGACAGTATTCACAGGACCCTTCCTTAAAGTCCTTTGTAACCTGCTGCAACTTCTCTCTAGCTTGGAGGATGGCTCAGACTTACTCTTGTTTGCTCTCTCAGAGCACATTTTATCCAGCAGCTAGAAGGAACTAGGAAAATTTATAACTGAATTACAGAAATGAGGATGTACTGTTTGCTTTTTGCTGTGGTGCGTTACGTGGCTTGGCTTGGCTAGAGTGGTTTTTATGACATGAATTGCTTGCTTTGCACTGTATACTGCCATTGACTTTTCACTAAAAGCTTCCATCAGGAGTTCTGAGTATGGGTTGATATCGGATTATAGTCTAGTCACAGTGGACATAAATCTCCTTGAGGTGGAGAAAGTAATCTTTAGGGGGTTAAAAAGAAAACAGACCCCAACTCAAGCCTGGACAGCTACACTGCTATTTTTAGCACTGTAGAGCAAACCCAAATCTGTAGACTCGGGCTCTGAGACTCGCTGCCACGGATTTCTGCTTGCCATGTAGACATACCAACAGTGTCCTGCCGAAGTGTGGCTTAGCCATTGCTCAGTCTCTGTTAGTTTATTGGAAACAGCAGATGACACCCTACTGGGGTTTTCCCTTCTATTTCAGTCACACTCACCACTTGGCTTTTCAAGACTTTTCTTTCCAGGGGATTTTCCATTGTCAGAATGTTTCGTGCCTTTTGGGGGCCTGTCAGGGATGTCTGCAGAAGGGAAGGAAGCCCCAGGGAGCTACCACAGCTTTGTACTTTGGACTAGATGCCAACTTTTGTGTGTTTTAATCGGGAAGGGAGAGAGGAACAGCTCAAATGAAACTCGTCCCTTTTTCCTTGACTAAGCCATGGATCTAGTTTCAGCGAATTTAAATCAGTGAAGTGTATTCTCCAGGTCTTTAAGGCCCTTGGTGTGTTCTTACACATCTGCTTTCATGCTCAGACCTCAACGGGTACATCGACACTGCAGTTGGGAATGTGATTCCCAGTATTGGTAAACAGACATGTACTAGCTTGGTGTGAGGTAGCACACTAAAAATAGCAGAGTGGCAGGGGGTAGCATAGGTGAAGGCTTGGGCTAGCCATCCAAGTAGGTACCCAGAGGGTCCAGGTGGATTGGTATTCAGGTGGCTAGCCTGGACAGCTGCCGATGCTACCCCGGCTACACTGCTATTTTTAGCACACTAGATTGAGTAGAGGTAGTGTGTGTCTGTCTACCTGCGCTGGGGAGCATGGTCCCAGCTGCAGTGAAGACATACGCAAGGATGCTTGGCTGCGCTCAGAAGCATGGACAACCATTGCAGTCTTACAGCTTTCGTTTATGCAGCACTGTTAGATGCTTTCTCTTTTTGACATTCTTTCCCTTAGCTCATGTCTGCTTGCAGCAACCTGTTATTCGAACCCTCCATTCCTCTTTTCAACGTAGAACAGTGGTAGCTGTAGATGCAAGCACAGCATTTCTGAACATACGGCTTCAGAGGGGGCATCTAATTCTCACTCCTTTTGTTTTCCTCTTCAGCAGCAGAACCTGAAGTTGGTGAACTAACGGTTTCCAGCATTACCCCCGAAAGCTTCAACCTTTCCTGGACAGCCACGGATGAGGCCTTCAAGACCTTTACCATTGAAATTATTGATTCTAGCAGGTTACAGGAGCCCATGGAGTACAACATTTCAGGCAACTTAAGGACTGCTCATATCTCAGGGCTTTCCCCCAAAACTGATTTTATTGTCTACCTCTCTGGGAGCACGCGTGGTTTCCGCACAAAGGCAATAAGTGTTGCAGCTACTACAGGTATATAAACCTACCTCGCATACTCACTCCGCTTTCTCCGAACTCTTCTTTACAGGACCTTACCTTTCCCTCACCCTTACCTTCCCCAGCCAACCCCCCGGTACCAAATCCTTTACCTCCCCCTACAACGCCTTCTGATGAAGAGCTGCAGGCGTTATTTTAACCTGTACAATTATGTTTAACCTGCCTGTCCAGTGCAGGGAAAGGACATCACGGCGATGAGGGATGTTCTTATTCACAACAGAAATAATCAGCTTTCTTTCTTCTCGGCTCCATCCGAGCAGGGGCAGCTTCTGGTAGAGAACCCCAACAAGTTTGCTTAGGGGCTGAGCATGGAGCCAACACTTCTCTAGGCACACCTCAGAGTGGCAACATGTGTTCGTACCTGTTACGTTGCATTTAGGGGGGTTATTTCTCTTGAATAGGCAGATGTATAGGCAAAGCTTTTTCTTCTTTTTGAATGGGGTGTGGGTGAAACTGACTCCACAGCAGAGGAATTATATAAGGCCGACGCCCTATTTTAATCCCATTTAAGATTTAATCCCATTTAAGACCTCAGGTTAGGTTTTACATGGGACTGAAGTGGTTCACGGCCCTGGGCTGGCTGGCTGCATTGGTATGGATTTTACTCTTAGCACCTAGAACAGCCTGAAGTTTCACATCTGGATCTCTGTAGCACAGCCATTCCAAGGAAAGAAGGAATCCTATTGTATGTGCGCAAAATTGAATTAGAAGTAGAAAACCAGCAAATTACAAAAGTAGATGGATTACTCAAGGGAGGGTTCTGTATCACATGCAGTAATCTTTTATTACCCATAGTGACTCCATTCATATGACCTCATATGCAAATGGTTCTCTGCTAGGGTGACCAGAGGGCAAGTGTGAAAAAGCAGGATGGGGATGGGGGGCAATAGACACCTATATAAGAAAAAGCCCCCAAAATCGTGACTGTCCCTGTAAAATCAGGACTGCTGGTCACAAAGTTATCTCAAAACAAGGTGCCTACATTAATTTGGTGAGAGATTATACAAGTAATGCAGGTTATATCTCCTCACAGATTGCAAGGACTAGACCGTGCTTTATCTTAAAATCCGTATAAGTAGGAGGAATTGTAACAAGGTGATGCTGCTGCTGACATGATTGACAGACAGTTCTATGGAACTTTAGGATGCCAGTCGCAGTTCAGCGTAATATGAAGTATCTGTGATCAAGTCAATAGCAGATACATTTGTAGGTGGGGAGTGGTATCCTGGCAGAGGGATGAATTAGGGTTTCTCAGCCTGGGGATCAAGACCCCCAGCAGGATTGCAAACAGTTGTCAGTGAGTCAAAATCATGCTCCCATTTAGCAGAATGAGATGGGCAGGGGGATCCTGGTGAGCTTTTGGCTAAAATGAGAGGGGTCATGGTGCAGAAAATGTGATTAAATAGGTCTTTTCCATTTCTGACATTGATTTTATTTGATTTTATTTTTGGTTCTAATAATTCCGACACATTTCCATTTGTTTTTCTTCCTCTAGTAGACGAACCTCTCCTTAGCAAACTAACTGTCTCAAACGCTACCTCAGACAGTGTGTCCCTCACATGGGAAGCTCAGGATGCTGCCTTTGATCGCTTTGTTTTAGAAGTTATAAACTCTGACTTGCCTTTGGATTCCCTGGTGTACACAGTGCCAGGGGCCTCACGGAGTTTTGTAATCACCAACCTAAGAGCCACCACTAATTACACTGTCCAACTGCATGGTCTAGTTGATGGCCAAGGTGCTCAGACTTTGACAGCACTGGTTACCACAGGTATTTCACCTTCCAGATTTACTTTTTCTATTCTTTCTTTTCTTATCCACCAAACTGCTTTAGAACGTGGCTCCAAAGAGACCTCACTTTTCCTCATCTAGATGGCCCTTGTTAGTAAATTACAGGAAGGGTCACTATGGGGACAGGTTGGAATAAGCTGAATCCGAGACTGCTTTGAAAGAAGCGGATCTGGGACCCTGGAAATGGCTGAAAAGTGTCCCCAGAATTAAGGAAGCACAATGCTAAACCTTTGGTTTATTTATATATACACTTATCTGCAAACTCTCTCTATATATAACTAAATTGCTCCAGATGATTCTCTGGAACATCTTTGCATTTGACTTTGAACACTCTTTGTGTTCATTCCACACCCTCTCTCTTCGTTTGCCTGTGATCTTTCTTATCACGGGAACGGGCACTGTGTCTGTGTCATACCAGAAAGGCAACTGCATGCCATTTTGGTTCTTTGTTTGTAAAAGTCAAATGTCTCTCATGGCATTTGTATCTTTTACTGGTGCTTTGGGTAGCATGTTCAATGACCAACAGGAACTGCATGATGTGGTCCAGTTATTCAGTGCTGGTACCAAGAGTTTTTTCTGCCTGGCATCTTTCCACATCCCCTCAGCAGTGAGCTGGGATTGAAAAGGAAGTCCATCCCTTCTTGATGTTCGGCCCTGTACCCTCTCACTTGCACTGTTGCCAGTGAGTCTTGTAGGGGAATGGGCACCACAGTGCCTTCCGGTGGATGCCAGAGCCTTTCCAGCACTGGTGGAGACTACAGGATGTTGGGAACTCACTAAGCCTGGCCTGGAGAGAGATTTTCAACTTGTGTTGCATGTCGTAACCTTTGAAATCTGGATGCCATGTCGTGGGCCTGCCTGAGCTCGGTGGGAATGGCATGTGAAGGAATGTGCCCGTTTCGGGTTCAGGGTGGAAAGGACTGTTCTCTACAACCTGCATGCAGGACTGACAGTGCCGTGCCTGGTTTCACCACATTCTCCCTTACGTATGTTTGCATCTTGAATACTTTTTGATCTCCTCCGCCATCTCCCCAGGCACCGAGCTCACGCCATGACAACCTCATTACTGACCATGCTGGCTCTGCTGGTCACTAGATGGCAGCATGATGACAGTCCCAGCATGCATCCTTAATTGGGGTCACTGAGATGTCCCTGCTCCTGGACTAGACCAAGGCGGCAGCGTGGATTGGGAACAAACTCTTCTGGCCCATTTAATCTAAGTCTTGGGTGGGTAAATTGCGGTAACTTGCGTCAGTTCATATGTCAATTAATTATAGGTCTCTCTGTGTTCTTTAATTGTTCTGTTGTTAAGATTACGTCCCCCAGAGTGAGTCACTTAACCAATAACTCCCCCTGAATATCACTGACTCCATTTAACCAACACTTTCATGTCCCCAAAACATTTTAACACATGGGGTTTAAATAGACTCCTCATTGTTGAATTATGTGAAAGCTGGATGGATTTGGCTCCAATTTCCAAAGTTATTCCTTTGAGGATGAGAATGAAATTTATCCCAAAAGGGAATATTTTTCCCTAAGAAGAATTTTTCCCTAAGACTTCCCTAAAGTCCTGAAAAAGGGGGTTGCAGTGATCTTGTGTCCTCCATTCAGTGGTCCACAGTGTGACCTAGTGGATAGGGTGCTGCCACTGGCCTGCTGTATGAGCTTGGGCAAATCACTTCACTCATTTGTGCCTCAGTTTCCCCATCTGGACAGTGAAGATAATGATCCTGATCTTGTTGGTAAAGCACTTTAACCTGAAGTGTGCCATACCTTCTGTGGCCTTCTGCAAAAGTAAAGTCTTGGTTCAGATCTGTGCAGTCGTTGAGAGCCTAATTTTCAGAGGTGCTTAGCATCTGCAGTTCCCTTGAACTTCATGAGGCGTTGTGTGTGCTTAGCACCCCTGCAAATCAGGCCCACGGTTAAGCGAGACAATTGAATCTATTTACCAGTAAACAAAAAAGAGCAAGAAAAAATTAAAACTAATAAACACCTGCAAGAGGTTAAATTGAAAGCCCTTGTCAATGGCTATTTTTAATGCCCAGCTCCTTATTTCTTCAGCCATTGCTCAGCAGATGGTAAAGGCTGGCTCTGTTGCTCTATACCCTTAAATAGCCATAACTCTTTCCTGCTTCTAAGCACTGCCCTGCTCTAAGTAATGCTTTCTCTTCACCTGTGTTCCTTTTCCTTCAGAGGCCAAGCCACAGCTGGGCACGCTCACACTCACAAACGTTACCCCCGACAGCTTCAACCTCTCATGGACCGCGAGAGATGGGCCTTTTGCAAAGTTTGTTATAAATGTTAGAGATTCCTATGCAGCCCACGCGCCGCAGGAGCTTACGGTGTCAGGAGGGGCCCGCAGCGCTCGCATCTCAGGCCTGGCAGATTACACTGGCTATGATATTAACATTCAGGGCACCACCAATGCAGGGGTCCACACAGAGCCCCTCACTGCTTTTGTCATGACAGGTACCCGTTTAAAGGCTGCTGCTTTGTGTGTTTGTTTTTTGTTAAAAAAAAAAAAAAACAACATTGATTAATGTGCAGGAAAGGAGAGAAGTGTGGCGGTTGTTTCTCTGTGAAACTGAGTAATGTTGACACTTAAAGAGATCATCCATTTTTAGGGCGAGGGAGGGGAGAACAGTTTCAGGTGAATTAAGAACCCATCCAAATCTTTACTCCTAACTTCAGCTGCAATTAACCTCCCTCACCGAGCTTTGAAAAAATAAGGTTAACTTCATGGGCTCATTTATCTAACCTGAATGCCTTCTAGGCCTCATTTCAGCTCTTGGATATTTAGAGCAGCCCTGGCCTTTAAAATTCCACCTGTCCTTCTGGGTCAGTTCCACTGATTAACTCTAATCATCTGTGAGATGGGCATCTCCTTTCTGCACGACACGTGGCAATTGAAAGGGCCAGGACTTCAGACACCCTTGTGCCTATTTGAACCTCTACATGTGGCAGTAAGAGAGGACGTCAAGATTCAGCCCATTTCTGTTGCTGTTTCACTCTTTACTCAGATCAGATCTAATATAATAACCTGACACTCATGCATGAATGATCATGCTGCCTGCAGTCCATTTATACTCCTTGAAGACTAAGCATTCCTTGCACATCATATCACAGTAACAGAGGCTGTCACTACAGCTTCTCTCCGTTCTTTGTATACTTTGCCTCGACCAAACAGCCGTCCTGCATGCGCTTGCATCCAGAAGCTCATGTCTCATTAGCTTTCCTTTTCCTCCTCACTCAAGTAATACACAGAGGTAACACCATCTGCAAAGGCACTATGCCAGGGTAGCCTCCCTTACATAAGGCAGTCTGCGCAAGCGCTTCACTGAAGTCCCAAGGATGCTGACTGTGACCTCCCTCCCTGATGGTAGCGCGTTACAAATGAACCAGCGTTTGCCTTCTCCAGTCCTGTTCTTTGCTTCTCCAAAGTACAGATGCTTCCCTATAGCAAATGTGGCATTGCTATATTTGAAGGCAAGTTTCTCAGATCTAGGTAAGCATGCTATGCTTCCTGCAAGCAAACAAATTCTTGTCTGCCTGTAGTTCATGTAAACCTGTTTCTAGAAAATAATTTCAATGTTTCAGGTCCTTTATTTATTTATCAAGGCTCCAGCAAAGCAAACCCATGAGGGGTTGGATCCAGTATATCTTGGGGATGCTCAGTAGGAGATTAGTGTAATTCCCTTAAACCACTCTGTCATGCTGTCTGCACCATGACCATGAGTGCCAGAGTGTCAAGAAGCAGGGCAGAGACCCCGAACTGCTTGTATGTTCTACGCTTAGATTTCACTGAACTCCTAACTACAGTAACAGTCTTACCATGGAGTCACAGACAGTCCCCTTCGGCATTCCAGTCTATTTTGCCACACAGGCAAGCTGGACTGGGTGATAGTTGGTTGCTATACACCTTAGATCACAAAATATTCACGTTACTCCCATTCCCAAAGGACCAGTCACTTATCCTAGGTCAATTTGTACCTTAGATCTAACACCAAAGACAACACTTGTAGCCAATCCTATAGTCAGCTATCTAAGGATTTATTAACTAAGAAAAGAAATGAAAGAGTTATTACAAGGTTAAAGCAAAAAGAAAAGGAGTACTTGTGGCACCTTAGAGACTAAAATTTATTTGAGCATAAGCTTTCGTGAGCTACAGCTCACTTCATCGGATACATGAAGTGAGCTGTAGCTCACGAAAGCTTATTCTCAAATAAATTTTAGTCTCTAAGGTGCCACAAGTCCTCCTTTTCTTTTTGCAGATACAGACTAACACGGCTGCTACTCTGAAACCTGTCATTATGCAAGGTTAAAGCAGGCAAACGTGCACACAAATGAGTTACAGTCTATGGTTTCAGAAGGTGACACAGTTGTAGTAATCTGTCAGCTCTGAATGTCTTTTAGGACTAACCCAGTTTGACCCTGGGGACCTCTGCTTCTCTTTTGTGTCCTGTGAGAGTCCAAACAACAAAAGAGATGAATTTTTTTCTTGTCAGCTATTTTTAGTTCCTTCTTCCAGAATGGAACTAGCCCTTTTGCAGGTAGCCTCTTTATGGGTGTAGGGGAGTAATTAGCAAAGTCTTTGTATTGTGATGTCCTACGATGGCCCATTTAGTTTTGATAGAATCACAGAATATCAGGGTTGGAAGGGACTTCAGGAATGTCATCTAGTCCAACCCCCTGCTCAAAGCAGGACCAATCCCCAACTAAATCATCCCATTTAGGCCTTCTTGATGGACAGGAAATGAACCCTCCTGGTTGGGTTCACAGTTTCAGAGCAAACATTTTTTACAGTTACACAGCAAGAACTTAAATATTAACTTATATCATGTGATAAAGAAATTCTAAGTGAGATTAGTGCATGCAGCAACTTACAAGCATTTCATAAAGTCTAAACACATTGTTATCATTCCAGTACCCATCTAAACCATATTAACGCACAGGTAAAACAGACTAGTTTCCAGCATTGAATTTGTCAGTGCTCGGCTGAGGCCTAAAGCCTTGCTAAGAGCTGGCACCTGATCTGCCCACGTCATGCACTCCACATGCATCAAATTCTAACAAAGCCTTTGGTACATTGCTATGCAGCCATCAAAGCTCGAGGACTTATATATTATTTTAAATGGCTTAATACTATGGATGGGAGAATGAGGGAAACAATGTCTCAGTTCCTACAAGAAGGCCACAGGGCGCCCCAAAGTTGGTTCTCGGGTCCTTCCCTTAATAATAGTAAGAAATACTTCACTGTTCATGCCTAGTTTTTGAAGAGCCATGTGGCTTTTGTGTAGAGATTGGCTCAAGCCTAGAAGTTCTGATTCTGATCAAAACCCCGAATTTTCCCAAAGTTTGGAAATTGGGGGTCCGTATCTGAGCTCCTGGATCAGACTAAGGCTATGTCTACAGTTGGAGCTAGGGATGTGGTTCCCAGTTAATACAGACAAACTTGCTCTCTCTCTCATCAAGTCAGCACACTAGAAATAGTAGTGTAGCCATGATAGCATGGGTAGCAGCGAGCAGCAGTATGGGCTGGCCACCTCTAGTTCCTGCCTGTGGGCTACAGGTAGGTTTGTACTCGGAGGAAAGCCTGCACCACCATTTGCTGCTACTCGCATTACCACGCCTGCGTTACCACAGCCACGGTACTATTTTTAGCGTGCTTGCTCGGTGCGAAATCGCACAAGTATGTCTGTGCGAGCTGGGAATCGCACTCCGACCTCCAAGCGTAGACATGGCCTACGCTGTAGAATTCAGCTCAAAAACTTTCTCAGATGCCTGAGTTGCGTGTTTCAGATCCATGCTTCTGGTTTGGGTCCATCTCTACTGTTCAATGCTCTTTCTGTAGTCACACATACTGAAATGCAGGCGGGGTTATTTTGTGGGGGGTGGGAAGGAAGGAAGGAAAGAAGGAAGTCAAGGACCAAATCCACTCAACTCTTACTAGGGATAAACTTCCACTGTAGTAAGTGATCATGTTGAGGAAGGATTGCAAGATTCCATGAGTGGGCCATATGGGAGAGCAAAGCCAGATTTTTAAAAAGCTTAGGATCGGATTGCCAAGGGCTGGGCACCCACAATCCGGGCTAGGCCTGTGACACCTAGGACCAGATATTCAGATGAGCTCAACAGATTGGGCTCTTTTGATAGCCTGGCCACTTAATTTTAGTGCCGAAATGGAAACTGACCTTTTTTGAACCCATGGCCCTATGCCTCTGAACTTAAACTAGTGCCCTTTTGGTCTGAAAACTACCGGAATAAGCAATTCTGTATTGGAATCTCTTTAAGTTGTCAACATATCAGTTAAAGGGGAGAGAGGGGAGGAACTGTTGGCTATTAAGATTTTTAGCCAGTCTGATCTTCAGCCACTACCTGCAGTCATTAGCTGTTGTTAGCACAATCTCTCCAAGTAAAAAATCCTTCAGTGTTTAGATCTTACGTTTGCAGTGACCCATGTTGGTTTAAGCCCTGGTTCCACTGGGTCAACCATTGGAAAGAAAAGCAGGCGATACTGGTGTGAAGTCGTGAGATATGTGAAAATTGAGGCTTGTCCCTAAAGCAATGGTGATGGAGAGGGGAGGATGGAAATAGATGTGTTATTCAAAGCAGCGTAAACCTCTATTATTCACAACTGATTCTGTGTGCATGTGAAATTGAAGAAACTTGTTTAAGTATCAGGGTTGGGGATTTTCAAAGGGACCTACAGGAAGTAGGCACCCAAATCCCATTGGCATGCAGTGAGAATTGAACACCTAATTTCTTTAGGCTCCTTTGAATATCTCAGCCTTGCTGTAGTGGCCATGCATTTCCATTAAATCTTATGGTTTTGGGGGAAAACTTGTGATTGATGTTTGCTGGAAGCTGTGACACTATCTAACTTGCAATGTTTTTATGCTTCTTTTCTTTTTTGTTTTTTTGCACCTTCCCTTCTTTTAGAGTCCATGCCCCCACTGGAAAACCTAACTGTCTCTGACATTAATCCTTATGGGTTCACGGTGTCCTGGATGGCATCGGAGAATGCCTTTGACAACTTTCTAGTAATCGTGGTGGATTCTGGCAAGCTGCTGGACCCACAGGAGTTCCTCCTTACAGGAGCCCAGCGGCAACTGGAACTTAAAGGCCTTATTACTGGCATTGGCTATGAGGTTATGCTTTATGGTTTTGCCCAGGGGCGCCAAACAAAGCCCCTAAGCACTGTGGCTGTTACAGGTATATTATCGTGGGCAAATTGTTCTTTTCCGTCCTCTCTTTCATGCTTCTCTTCTCACCTGGAAGATGTTGTGTGCAATCCATTTGCAAAACAAACCATGGCTTTTGCATATCCTTTTTCATCATGGCTACACATACCTCATCATGATTGAGAGGTTCACTAATGTGATCCCATTTCTACGTTTCTTGGTATTCTCTTTATGTTCTGTCTCTGTGGGGTCCAGTGGAGAAGAGTGGAACAGGGTGGAGGGGTAAATTGCTCCCTGAAAGAACCCTTAGCTGGAGAAAGGAGACCAGACGAATTCACCATGTTATAAGCCACCAGGTACCTCGATATTCTTCAATTGTCTATGCAACAAGACCATTCAGGAGAGTCATGCTGGGCTTCCCGCCCATGGACTCCTCCCCTTCATTCTCCATGCCAAATAAACAAGAGGATCATTACAACCAATAGCGTTGGGCATCTCTTAACAAAGCATTGCCCGTGTTCTCATTCTCATCGTAGCTGAGTTTTTCCAGCTGCATTTTGGCCTTATTGAACAATTATTGCTTCTTTTCACCAAGTCTCAGCCACAGGATTTGCTCATTCCATGCACCAGCAAAGCCAGAGTTATATGGCTGAACGTTGGTGAGAAAATAAATATGGACCTTTTATTGTGAAAAATACAACCGCATTGGAGATACTGTTAAACAGTTATTATTCTGGTAACATTGCTACAGTTAGTGATGCCTAGAGTACCCTATAAGGCAGATAACCACAATAATAGTGAGAAACCATCTTAGGTAACTGCTGGAATCCTCTTAGGTGGATTCCTCTACTAGGGGTGTTAGATAAACCTCTTTGGACTTAAGCGTGCAGCATTGTGGATATAGATTTTCTTGATTTCCCCTTGCTGCTTCAGCATTGATTCCAAAGGAAAAGTGGACACTGTAGGCTAGATCAGAAGCATCAAGAAGTCCAGAACCACATGCAATAATTGTTAGGAATGAAGGAACTTTTTAGTGACTCCTCTACAGTGCTCCTATCAAAGCGGGAGAAGCAAGCAACGATATAAGCACAGCTGCAGATTATTAACAATGGCTTGTTTTTATTTGTCATAAAGGGCTTGCAAAGGATGGGTAACTCTAGTGGAAGCCAGAGAACAAATAAACATCACTTTTACTGTTAGCATCTTCAATATTTCATGACCGGGGCAAATGGCCTGTATCCAGATATTTGTTCTGCTTTGGGGTATTGTAAAAGTTGGGCACGCCTATACGCACACACACATATATCATGTACAGTACCTGTATAACTCTTGAATATCCAAAGGTTTCTTTTTTCTTTTTTATAGCTAGCAGATTGTTCCAATTTCTTTAAACTGTGGTTGGATTTTTGCAGCGTGCTCTGACCCGACCTAGAGCTGGTCACTATGAACTGGTGTGTGTGTGTGGGGGAATCTAATTTCTTCTTCCTACTGCTATTTTCTCCTTTTTTTAGAAGCAGAACCCGAGGTCGACAACCTTCTGGTTTCAGATGCTACCCCAGATGGCTTCCGTCTGTCTTGGACCGCAGATGATGGGGTCTTCGACAGCTTTGTTCTTAAAATCAGGGATACCGACAGGCAGTCTGACCCACGGGAACTAATAGTGCCAGGCCATGAACGCACCCAAGATATAACAGGGCTGAAAGAGGGTACTAAGTATGACATTGAACTCTATGGACTTATCAGTGGACGACGTTCCCAGCCCATAAATGTAGTAGCTACCACAGGTATTGCCTCTGCAACGGAGGGAGAAAAGCATGACGTGCATGTCTGTCTCTTTCATTTCTGTCCCTCTCACATCCAGTTTGACTTCTCACAAAGTTTTTAAAAGCCGTTTGCCCCAACAACTCTCACCAAGATTTCTTTTCTTTGCAATCTGCTCCATCTGATGGAGCATACTCTTCTGCTTGGTCTTGTTCACCATATTTAATAAAACAAAAGGAGGGTTATTTCATACTTGTTATCTGAAGACAAGCAGCATGGTCTAGTTGTTAGAGCACGGGGTTTGGGAGACAGGAGATTTGCCTTCTATTGCAGGCACTGTCCGTAATTTTCGACAGTCAGTTGTCTTCACTTTCCCTCAGTTTCCCACCTCTGAAGGATGGATGATAAAACTTACCTAACTCACAGGGCTATTGAGAGGCTACTCAATTAGGGCTTGATTTGCAAGGTTGCCAGGTGCTGAGCACCCTCAACTCACACTGGTTTTAATGGGCGCTAAAGATGCTCAGCAGTTCACAGGAGTCTTCAGCATTTTGCAGGATCAAGCCCTTTAGTGTCTGGGGAGTGCGCTGAAGTCCTCAAATAGAGGACGCTGTAGATCAGCTTGACTGTGAGTACAGTATCCATGTGTCAGTGCTTATTTAGCTGAGTCTTACAGTTAATGGGATCCCCAAGGAAAGAGGCAGACACAAGAGTTTATTAGTGCCATTTTGCTTAAAAAAAAACAGGGCTGGATTCTACACTGTATCATGCCAACTTTACCCAGGCAGAATTCCATTAACCTGGCGCAGAAATGGAGTAATGCCAATGCCATGATCCTGAAGCTTGATTCCTGGGTGCCTAACTCCCATGTGTGCCTTTCAAATCTCCCCTGGAATAAACTCTCACTTCCAGGCCATTTTAAACTGCCAGAGTGGTATAAAGGGGTCTTGATGAAAATGTGAATCAGGCCCTAAATCTGGCTTGATAACCTTTAGCCAGTGTTTGGAGAAGAAAAGAGCCAATGGTAGATCAGTGTTGGAAAGCATCTACTGAGACCGCATGCACCATGATTCATCTAATTGGTCCCCCATGGTTGAGGGGCAATGCACACTTGTGACCAGCTTCTAAGTGATCACAACCATGTTCCTTAAACAAACAGCAAGCAAATGTACTTACAGTCCGAGACATTTGCAATACGCAGAACATCAATCCATCACAGACAGCCTTTTGTCAACCCACGGGTTTGACTCTTGAGAGAGGGTGCTGTTTAAAGTCAACTGTAGGTTTTAGCAGCATGTCCCTATTTTCACTGACTCACAGAATATTTATGGTAAACCACAGGCAGTTATAAATTTCCTCATGCCTACATTCTGATTTGGTCCTGGCAGAAAGATTTAGGAGCATGTCAGCTATTGAAGCTAATAGTCCAGAAGACAGACCCCCATAAATAGCCCATGGATAATTGATAATAGAGCCTGGCCCACAGAATCCCAGTTAGATGATTTAGGCTGCCACTTATGCCACTTCCAGCAACAGTAGCCAATGCCATCAAGAAACCTAATTAGCTTTTTGAGTTAGTAGCTTCTGTCTGTTAGACTTTCATAGCATTTCTGCGATGATGGTAAAGAAATATTTGGAGGAATTTTGACATTTCACCATTATTTTCCCTTCCAAATAGGAAGCAAAAGTCAAAATATCAAAAAATGTCATGAAATGAAACATTTCAAAAAGATTTGATGGAAAATGATCAAAAAGAAATAATTTGAGGTATAAAAAAGATCTTTACATTTTGTTTTGAAACAAAAGCTGGAAAGACCAAAAATAAAGTGTCCGTTTGGAAAGTGAACTCCTCCTTCACACCAAGAGGTGGCCCCTCTAGCATGGCACAGAGTCTCACTGGCAGTAGAAGTGAACCTGAAATGCTTTGCACTGTCACTGCCCATGCTGTACCTATGCTGTGGTTCAAGGGTCTAGTCCAGTATTGACGACAGTGGGATTATTCAAAGAGGGTGCAATTCGCCCCATGCAGAGAGGCACCATCCAGGCCATACATCACATAACTGCTCAGAATAGGGCATAGGTGGGGCTGGAGTGGTACTCAGGCACTCCTTGCGGGGATGAATTTCACCCATGCATAAGAATGTCAGGATCTGGTCCCACTAGAGGCTCTCAGTCTCCAGGGCTATCAATCCATCAGCTTTCAGCAGCTATTAAATTCACTGGAATTGCAAAACTAAATCGATATTATTTCCAGCTCTGTCTCATCCATGTTTTTTCTTCTTCACTGTTTCCCTCAGATTGTGGATTGATGGCTAAATCAGCAGCAGCTTTTGGTGCAGTGCTGGTTTACCAAACCCAATTTGCTTTGTCTTTAAGCCCCCCGCCCCGCTCTTGTTTTTGAACAAACCCAGCAGCCCAAGGTGGACAGCAAGCTGTGGAGATAATTTACAGTTCTCAGTGGAGTGCAGGTTGTTTTCTTTTCCTTTCCCTTCTGTTGATTTAGTGCCCTGCTGCTGGAGCTCCCAGGAGCACCTGGAAGTCACAACCCCCTATGACTCCTTTTCCTGCAAACTCTCTTTCTTTGCAAGCCATTTCACCCACAGGCTCTTTCTTTTTCCCTCTCACCATATACCCTGGCTTGTCTCCACTAATCCTCTTCATATAGCTCGTGTTTGGTATTTGTCACTCTTCTGCTAATGGACTTCTCTTGTGTGGGCTATTTATTTTTGTTAACAATGATCAGGGTTGTTTTTATTAGACAAAAGGGCAGATTAGGACTGAAATGCTGAACATGAACTTTCAAGAGCCAGGTGTTGTTACCTCACAGTGCTGGGAGCCCTCATCGCAATCAGATCACACTTAAGATCTAATTGGTTAAAACACTGCGCAGACTGGCAAAAATTTAGAACACATCTTCAGACTGAATCTCTTTGACACATGTTTTTCTACTTATCCAAGTGGTGCATGCAGTCCGATTTACATGTCTGATTCCAGCCAATGCGTATACAAAGGTATTAGGAGACAGGGTTGGAAGGGCAGCAGGCTTTTAACAAAAGAGCCTCTGTGTGTACGTGAGTGTGTGTGTGAGAGAGAGAGAGAAACCAAAGCCTCAAAGGTTCACTGTTTCCCCATCTCTCATAAGACCTATCTACCCCCAGTGGTTTCACTTATGCAAAAATATATATGGGGCCATATTCACTGTTATGCTCTGGCTGCTTTGTGTTGTTCTGGCAATGCAAATCAGCCATAAACCCAGGTCAACTGGTTGCATTTACGGCTGTGTACACACCAACCAGTGAATATTCTTATTCTTACTTATTGTTAAGGGCCTACAATGCGTTTACCGCTGTACAGAACAAGACGGCTTCCGACCCAAATGAGTTTGCAGTCGAAACATCGGCTGCATTGCTCTCAATAAGTACATACCTCGCCTAGGCCCCTTTAAATTCTGCTTAGTGATGGCCCCTGCTTTGGAAAGAGAGAGAGAGAGAAGAAGAAGCAGTGGTTTTATCCATAGGAATGAAAGCCAAAAGAATTCCTTCCCTGTCCTCCTCCCTCAAAACGATTTGTTCTCTGGCTGTAAATATCCAGTCACTTCCCAGCCAGGGAATGTGTTTTTCCCCTCCTGCTCCCTGGGTAAAATGCTGCTTTCATATGCAAAGCTCAAGTTAAAGTGGCTTTCAGCCGGGGGCTCTACTCTGGGGTCGAGGTGATGGAATCCTCCCCGTTTTCATAAGCAGGGTGCAGGCTGGCTGCACAGCCACACCACAGGGGATATTGCCTCCTGTCCTAGTGGATCCATGTAGTTGTGGTCCCACTGGCTGCCCCTGATTCCCTTCTGCATGCCATTACAGAGAGAGAAATAAAGTCCAAAACAGTGCTGCACCACAGGGAGTGAATGGTTTCTTCTACACACTGCACAGCTGGGACTCCCCCTGGTGCTGGGGAGGGGGGTACTGTGTTCTCTCTGCATTCTGAACCTTCAGTGATTTTGACTTGGGCTAGGAGTTACTTGGAGTTTGTGATCTTATCTGGGGCTTGATCCTGCAAGTTTCTCAGCGTCCTCCACTCCCTTTGGTATCAGCAGGAGTTGAGGGCACTCAACCTCTCGCAGGATGGAGCCCTTGATGCACCTAGACTGCAGATTCAAGACCTCTTGTGGGCTTCCTGCCTGCTTGGGACTTGGCACCATGAAAGAGGGCTTTCTCCATTTCTGAAGACTGCTGTGCACAAATGCTTTCAGGGTGTAAGGATGGGCTGCCTCTGATGTTCAATGAAAAACTAAAAATAGACCAAGCGCAATTGGGTTGAGAAAATAATGGCTAGAACAAATTCTGTACAATATAGAGTGCAAACCAAAAAATGGATCTGTTCCATAACCCCTGCAATTGCCATTATTCCCTGCAATATACTATTAATAAAGTAATATATAATATGAATACATTTAATAGCTTTTTTATGAGGCTGGACATGGCTGTAACTTTATTGGAAAACAAAATCAGGACTGATTGTTCTGAGTGGGTAATAAAACCCTGAGCTGTGTGGAACTTGCTCTCACGTTACGTTGAACTAGATAGTTATAGCTTCAGATCCTGGGACAGGAGGCTGAGGTCAATTGTTATTCCAGCAAAAAATGATTGATAAGCACATGCTTTAACTCTTTCTCTGTGTCTGTGTGGTGTGTTTTTCCCTCTCCCTCTGACTCCACCGGCAGCTGTGGGATCACCCAAGGCACTCACGTTCTCTGACATTACTGAAAACTCAGCCACAGTCAGCTGGTCACCTCCAAGGACCCGAGTAGAGAGCTTCCGGATTTCATACATCCCCATAACAGGAGGTGAGGAAGTGGTGGGGTAGTGAAAGGAATAAGGGTGCACTGGTAAAAGAGAGTAGAGAGCAAGTGGAAGGGACTACGGTGATGCTGGTGTCAGTCACTCGGTACATAGAGGTCTAGCCTCCATATCAGAAGGACACAGAGGTTCAATTCTCTGGCTAGCCGGCAGCTGGCAGGCACAATTACTGTGCACTTAACCAGTTCCAGTGGGTGGACGTACTGTATGAATGGCATATCTAGTATGCCATGGACCAGACTTGCAAAAAAGCCAGATTTCCGAGTGCTCGGGAGCACCCATAATTGGAGCCAGATTTTCCAAAGAGTTCAGCTCCCATTTTGGCTCCTAGGCACTTCAGCCTGCATGCATCATGCAGAGCACCTTTGAAAAGCTGGCCCTTGAAGATTGAAAATAGTTTGTTTTTTAAAATGTCATCTATGGCTTTAACTGTGCTTTCTAAGTCAACGCTTTTTTGAATATCCCTTAAGGATGTTTCATTCCATCCACCATATCTCTCTGTTTTAGTGCTTCACTGGCAAATGGGAAGCTTGTCTTTTTCATGAGACTTCCGTGATGAGTAATAGACTTTAGCACAACTCATGGGACCCCTGGGTGGAAAGATTACCTAACAGCATGTGAAGAGCACCTACCAGGGACTAAAAGAAACATCCTGGAAGTGCTACAGAACAGAACAGGAAGGAGATAGGAAACTACAAAATGGGAAACCACCACCATCAGATAACTGGAGTTGGTTTTTCCACTAAGATTTAGGCCTTGATCCAGCAAAGCACATATGTAATTTTTAAGCACATGAGTTGTCACATTGAACTCATTGGGCTTTCTCAAAAGCATACAATTAACCATGTGCTTAAATGCTTTGTTGGAGTGGGACCAGAATTTGGAATAAATAAATATCCCGAGTCCCTGTCTATGCAGGTAGGACCTCTCAGGCTAATATGCACTGTGTCTTGGTCTGAGATTAAGTGGGCCAAAGAGAGACTCTGAATAGATATCTGGCCTTTCTTCACCTCCCATCAGAAACCAAACCAAAGCGGTCCAAATATACAACAAGACTCTTTGATTTCTTTGTATTTAATTGCATGTGCAAATACCTACATTTGCACGTGACAGTTATCCATTTTGCACATGAAAATGTGGCCATGCCCGTGCACAAGATTTTAGTTTTTCCTTACACATATTCAAATGTTGGCACTCGGACCACTAGGGGGAAAAAAACACGAATAAACCAGCCCCTTTGATTTATGTTTTAGGGAGACTATTTTTACTGATCCTCAACTGTCAAAATTTTCCCTTGTTTTCACCTATTCAATCTTATTGACGTCAGTGGGTTTAACCAAGGGGGAAATTTGGCCCTGATGTACATAGCACAAGCATGGAGGGACAAACTCAGGATAGGGCACAAAATGAATTACACCTAGCAAGGGATATTGAAGGTAATAACACACGGTTATTTAAATACAGTGGAGCAAGAGAAAGATGAAGGAAAGTATAGGTTCTTTACTTAGTGGAGAAGGAAAGCTAATAATTTATGACATCAAGAAGTTTGAAGTGATTAATTCCTATCTTCCTCCAGTCTTCAATAAAAAGGTTAGTGGTGATTAGATACTCTACACAATTAATATTAACAACAAGGGGGAAAGAACACAAGTCAAAATAGGGAAAGAAGAGGTTAATGAATATATAGCTTAGTTAGATGTATTCAAGTCAGCAGAGCCTAACAAAATTCATCCTACGTTACTCAAAGAACTAGCTGAAGCAATCTCGGAACCGTTATCAATTATCTTTGAGAACTCATGGAGGATAGCAGAGGTCCCAGAAGGATGAACATAGTACCTATCCTTAAAAAGGAAACAAAGAGGACCTGGGGAATGATAGGTCAGCCTAACTTCAATACCTGGGAAATACTGGAACAAATTGTTAACCAGTCAATTTGTAAGCACCTAGAGGATTATAGGGTGATAAGGAACAGCCCACAAAGATTTGTCAAGAATGCAAAAAACAACCTAATTTCCTTTTTTTGACAGGGTTACCAGCCTAGTGGATGGGGGGGAAGCAGTAAACATGATTTATCTTTATTTTTGTAAGGCTTTTCACACAGCCTCACATGACATTTGCATAAGCAAACTAAGGAAATGTGATCTAGATTAAATTGTTATAAAGTGGGTGTAAAACTGGTTGAAAGACAATAGTCAAAGAGTAGTTATCAACGATTCACTGGAGTCCCACAGAGATGGGTCCTGGGGCCAGTACTATTCAATATTTTCATTAATGACTTGGAAAATGGAGAATATGCTCATACAACTTGCTGATGACACCATGTGGGGAGGGGTTGCAAGCACTTTGAAGGACAGAATTAGAATTCAAAACATCCTTGACCAATTGGAGAATTGGTCTGAAATCAACCGAATGAAATCCAATAAAGACAAGTGCAAAGTATTTCATTTAGGAAGGAAAAAAATCAAATGCACAATTACAAAATGGGGAATAACTGGCTAGGGAGCGGTATTGCTGAAAAGGAACCGTGGGTTATAGTGGAGCACAAATTGAATATAAGTCAACAACAATATACAGTTGTAAAAAAAGGCTAATATCATTGTGGGGCATATTAACAAGGAGTGTTGTATGTAAGACAGGAGAGGTAACTATTTTGTTCTCTGGTGAGGCCTCAGCTGGAGTATTGTGTCCAGTTCTGGGCACCACACTTTAAGAAAGTTCTGAACAAATTGAAGAGTCTCTAGGGGAGAGCAACAAAAATGACAAACCTGACCTATGAGAAAAGAGTAATAAAAAAACCTGGGCATGTTTAGTCATAAAAAATGAAGACTGAAGGGGCACCTGATAATAGTCTCCAGTTATGTTAAGGGCTGTTATAAAGAGAATGGGGATCAATTGTTCTCTGTGCCGCAGAAAGTAGGACAAGAAATGAGGAGCTTACTCTGCAGCAAAGGAGATTTTGGTTAGTTATTAGGAAAATCTTTCCAACTATATGGATAGTTATGCCCTGTAACAGGTTTCCTAGGGAAGCTGAGGAATCCTCATCTCTAGAGGTCTTTAAGAACAGGTTGGACAAACACCTGTCAGGGATGGTCTAGGTTTACTTGGTCCTGCCTCAGTGCAGGGGGCTGGACTTGAGATCCCTTCCAGCGTTACATTTCTATGATTCCATGAAACTTATTTCCGTACTGGAAATGAAGTCCTTTGTTTGGAGCACAGCACCACAGCCTAAACACGAGCTGGAACATCATTTCATCATTGCCTTGACATATGGTTTGCTCCTAGGTACTCCCAATGTTGTGACAGTGGATGGAACCAAGACTAGGACCAAGCTGGTGAAACTGATCCCAGGTGTAGACTACACTGTCAGTATAATCTCCATCAAAGGATTTGAAGAAAGCGAGCCTATCTCTGGAATTCTGACTACAGGTAATGCCCAAAAGAAATAAAGTCCTAGTAAGTTTGTTCAAGTTCATGTGTCATACAGAAGACTCATAAAAATCAGAATTGAAAAACACTAACCAAGTCACATTTTAGCTATCCCCTGATACTGACAAGAGGATTTCTTTCTTTTGTATTTTGCCTACTGGTTATTTATTCTTTGTATTTGTATTGCAGATGAGTCTAGATGTTTTAACTACCCCATTCTGCTAAGCACATACCAACTTGTAGTGAGAGACAGACCCCTGCCTCAGATATCTTCTAGTCTAAACAGGCAAAACAGAAAGAAAGCATTATTAGCCCACTTTTATAGATGGGGAGCTGAGGAACAGATTAATTAAGTCACTTGGCCGCAATCAGACGGGGAGTCTGGGGTGGCACAAGGAATTGTACTCGGGTCTCCTGAGTTCCAGAAAACCATCCTCTCTCTCATCTCTCTTTTGTCTAGCATAGTTTTAAATAAACCAGGGTTTCCCCCACATCCCTTTGGAAACCACCTGCAGTCTAATTGATTCATAATGCTCCTGGGCTTATAGGGGTACAGAGCACGGGGAGGAAGGGGCAATGCACTCAGCACTGGAGGCCAGGTCATACTTCATATCCCTCACCCTTGGGAGCAGCTAATGGTCCCAGTGCAAGGTCTCTGATGGAAGGCATGAAAAGGAGGGAAGATGCAATCCCCACAAGAAAGAATGTAGAAAAGCAGATTATGTGATTCAAAACAATTGTGGCTAGAGGTCTGTAGAAGGTTGTAATGGCCATGAGTTGCCATCCGTTCAGTCCTTTCCCCAGCCTCGGTAGTGTGAGTTTTCCCCAAGAACCTGTCTGGAACTGAGAGCATTGAGGAGAGAAAGGTATCAGGTCTGAAAGAGGCCCCAAGATGGATGATGTCAAGAGTATTATCTTAGAGCCTGTGGAACTGAGACTTTGAAAATAATTAGTTCTCACTGCCAGCCTCTTGGTATGAGTTTAATCCTCTCCCATGATGACCTCCCTCTGCAGCAGTGCTGTTCTGTGAAGCTCGACATCTCTCCAGTAACCCCCCTTCCCTCACCCCCCCATTCCAAAGAGGACCACGCAAGGGCAGCAGTGTCTGCTCAGTTTTCACTATGTGCCTGGCACAGCATATTATATGCAGCAGGGAAACCCTTAATATGTATAATTCCCTCATTATGGTATTATCTGTCCTTTCAGCTCTGGACAGCCCATCAGGACTGGTAGCAGTGAATATCACAGACTCTGAGGCCTTGGCAGTCTGGCAGCCAGCGATTGCCACAGTGGACAATTATGTCATCTCCTACATTGCTGAGGATGGTAAGAAGGGTCAGTGGGGGGCGTCTTTGAGCTCGACCACAGTCGGTGAGAGTGGTGCTCAGGACTGAATTCAGCAACTGGGAAGGGGGAGAGAAAGGTTGAATCTGAGAGGTGAAGGCTGGTTAGGAGCATGTTACAGCATCCTCATTTAAGTAAGTTGTCAGTCCCTAATCCCGGTGGTGAGCAGCAGCAGAGCTGTATCTGTGTTATCCTTGAGGCGAAAAGAAAACTCACTGTTATTTTCAACACATACAGCAGGGGGCGCTAGTACTTGGGTATGGAATTGACTGTAGAGTTAACAGTTTGCATTCAGCTTTGGTATGGGTTGAGGCAATGACTCCACTGAGCCACTGCTTCTCCTTACTTCATCCTCGTCCCGAAACACCTCCGAAAAATGGTTTCCTTCCAATGAACGATCAGCCCTTAGCTCAGGATGTGAACATTTGAACGGAGCGCTGGTGTTAAGCCTCCCTCTGAGGAGTGCTCGCCACTTACAACCGACCCCCTGACTTCTAGTGGCCCCCAAACTAAAGTTCTCTGTTCCCATCTTTTGTGTGTTCGCTGTGTAGATCCAGAAGTTACTCAGACGGTGTCTGGGAACACTGTGGAATATGACCTTAATGGCCTTCGTCCTGCAACTGAATATATGCTAAGGATCTATGCAGTAAAGGGACCTCAGAAGAGTGAGACGGTCTTCACCAAATTCACTACAGGTGCAGTGTCAAGCCTTTCCCCAGCATTGCAGCCAAAGGTTCCATTGTCTGCTGCCATCAAGCCAGCACTGCACTCACTGTATCTTGTCTCCTTTAGGCATGGATGCACCAAGATCTTTGAATGCCATTGAGGTCCAGTCAGAAGCAGCAGTATTGTCATGGAGGCCTCCACGGGCTTCTGTCACCGGCTATCTCCTTATCTACGAGTCTATCGATGGCAAAGTCAAGGTACTGCACTTGGATCTAACCCAGAAATTCTGAGTTGGGAGACATGCTGGTAGAGCTGCTCAGAAAATGCCAGTCAATGGGACTGAAGCACATGTCTAACATTAAGCACATGTCTAAGTGCTTTCCTGAATCGGAGCCAATAATGAAAACTTAGCTGCAGCCGAGACAACATATAGTCTATCTTCTCTCCGCAATAGGGAAAAAAATAAGACAGCAAGCAGCTGCCTTCTCCCATCCAAAGTCTATGGCATAAAGGCAATAGGCATATGTGTCTAAAAGTGACTAGTGATTTTGGGTGCTCAACTTGAGCCACTTTTAAAGACTCAATTTTCAGAGGGCGGGTGTTTAGCACTTTCTGAACATCAGGCCTTGTCTAGATATTTCAAGATGGTTGTCCAAAATTGTCACGTTTGGAAATTCAATTCCGTGGCATCTACGGACATACCACAAAGGACAATCCTGCTTAATTTTTGATGAATTTCGCCCCTGCGGCAGAATATGATGTGTATATATATGACATGTTAACTTCTACCATGCTTGCTTTTAAACTACACTACTTAAACATTATAATATTAAACATTCATTTCCAGGCAACCTTTCTTATATTACTAATGGACGTTAGTCTGGTAAAAATCTTGTAGGAATAAAGTTTCATAATAAATCTTTGAAACGGTTAAAAATACCATCAATAATTTACATAAAAAGGCATCTGAAAATCTAAAATATGCAACAGTTCCAGTCCATGGGTTTGTTCATTTCAGAGTTTCTGTAGGATTTATTCTTCCAACAGGAAGTCATCCTGGGACCTGAGGCAACTTCCTACAGCCTGTCTGAGCTAAGCCCATCCACCCAGTACACAGTGAAGCTGCAGGCACTGAACAGAGCCCTGAAGAGCAAGATAATCCAAACTATTTTCACCACAAGTAAGGCCTTTGCTTTGTATGAGGGGTTGGTCCATTCTTAGGAATGAGCTCTGGAATAGGCAGATGCAGCTCCCATTGAAGTCAAAGGGCAGTGGATACCTGCAGTGTGCTTAGGGCAGTGAGTATGTCTACACTGCAGTCAGAGGTGTGACTATAGCTTATGCAGCTTGAGCTAGCTTTGATCTAGCTAGCTTGAAAAACACTAACAGTGAAGCCCCTGCAGCATGGACCGTACAACCCCACCCAGGAACCTGAGCATCTATACGAGTGGCTAGCCTCTGTGTAGAAAGCCAGCGTGAGGCTCCCTGCACCATTTAAACGCTGTATGAGGCAGCAGCCCCATTCACTGCCCTCAGACTAGAAGGTTGGATTTCAGCTGTTCAACCATTCCACACTCCACCCACACAGAGCCTGATTCAGCCTGTGGGTGGAGTGGCTTGCACTCAGGTTGGCCCTTACAGCTTTAATCCCTGGACTAGCTTCTCCTCTCCCTTCTCTCTTTCCCACTGAGCTCACTCAGTTTTCATGCTGCTACCCCAGAGTGTTTGTTCTGATCCTACCTGGGAAGGCTCTCCAGTAAACTGAATGCAATCAAGTATTCTGAAAGCCTCATCACAGCTGACAGTCAGTTCTCCTGTTGCCACATTTTTGATGGCAGGGAAAATACAATGTCGTTTTTAAGGATTAAATGGCTACAAAATTCCACCTGCCGTTCTCCTCACTTCTCACAATTCTCAACCTTCCAAACTGAACAGCGTCTTCAAATGTTTGCCTCTGACTTCTGCCATCTATGCTGACATCAGGTCAAGTGCTTATAAAATGCTAGGTAAAGTCACAGGGCCCTGAATCTGTTTCCAGTCAACTCTGATGTAAATCAGGAGTAACCTCATTGAAGTTAATGGAGCTACATCAGCGAGTGGGAGCAGAATCAGATCCTGATGTGTTTAAGTGACATCTACCTTCATGACCAGTAACTGGAGACCTCCAAAGCTAAAGCATGAATCTCTACAGCTTCAGCTAAAGAGCTAGTACCTTATTCAGGCAAACAATTAAGTCCATGTTTAATTTTAAGTACATGCTTGAGTCCTGTTGACCTCAGTGGGGAGGCAAGCACATGAGTAAGTGTGCTTACTTCCCCACTGAGTAATTGCCCTGAGTAGGGATGTTTTCCTGAATTGGAGGCCTAAGTCCTATAGTAGAGAGCTGTAACGGACTCAAATCCTCTGGCACAGAGTGCGTCACATAATACACAATGGACCCTGAGTTACATTTACACAGCTGGCTTTGAGACTATAAAAGTGTTAATAATAGAAATTCACCTAATATACATTTCCAGAACATCCCTTAATTACACCTGTTGCAGTTATTTCCACTGAATATGCTAAAATCAATAATATTTTCAGTCATTTCAAAGATGTCAAGAAAATGCCAGAAACATTCACATTTTAATAGTTTTGGGGATTTTTTGTGTTCGAAATTGTATTGACTGCACCTATACCTCTATTAAGTTGTAATGAGAAAAAAATGCACCATTGTTTTTTTTCTTTTTCACACACCTTGTTTTATAACATACTTTGCATTACACTGGTTGTTGAAGAAGTCCCAATTTTCGTCTTGGCTTTCCCCATGCTTCCACTGTTATAGTCTCACGTGCCATACATGCAAATCATTAAAGGTGCAGTTTTGTCCTGCAGGTAGTTGCAGACAGAACTGATGTCACTTAAACATTTAACTACATGATTGTGCCGACATTGTAGGTAGGTAGGCATATAAATACAGTTAATTGAGCCTTCAAAATTGCAGACATACACAGGAGGCTTAGCTTTAGAAATCTGTCCCTAAATATTTCCTTTTATCACATATTATCTGATTTTTTAAAATTAATATATATATACACAACCCCACACTGGTCTGGATTGCAACCCAGAACTTCTCTCTATATATAGTCCTGGTCCACAACCTTGGGTGCTTCACAATGCTTTGCTGTTGTAACTCCCAACCTGGGATGCTCACTAACGGTCTTACAGCATGCAAGTCACACACTCCGTGTCTGTGTATAGCTCCAGCTCTGGTCCAGCGGCTCTGGCCCCAGCAGCCTGTCAGCAGCATTCCAGTCACACTCTGGCTTCCAGCAGTCTTGGTTACTACTTCCAGAGTGATCCCAACAAATTCCCAGTCCTGAATTTTCCCAGAAATGTGTGTTCTGCACTGTCCAGCCCTTCCCTGGACTGTTCAGATTTTACAGGTCCATTGCCTCTGTAAAGGGTCAGTATTCAACAGTTTTCTACTTTAACTGGAGTGGCCAAACAGTGCTGTTTAAATTAAACACTGGATTGGTTTAGCTTAAAAAACAAAACAAGTTTATTAACAAAAGAAGATGCGATTTTAAGTGAATTCAAGTATCAGGTATGAAAGTCAGAAATGATTACAAGACACATAAAGATGAACACACTTTCTAGTAGCTAAAACTTAACAAGCTAGACTTGGTTCAAGGTAAAATCCTTACCACGTTTCCAGCAACATGGTTGACCAAATTCTCAGGTCAGGATCTCCCCTCAGAGTCAAATGGCTGGTTCCTTTGTCTTCTTAGGTGAACAAGAGATCAACTGGGATATTTTGCCCCTCACTTTTATTGTCCAGTCACCCTTTGAAATGCATTTTCTTGAGAGTTACCCCTACATAAAGTTTATTCCATCTGTGAGGAAGGAGACATGGAGGCTTGGGGTGAAAAATGTTGTTTTCTAAAATGCAGATTGATCTGTTCCTGCCCCACCCCCCCTTCATTGCCAAAGACTGGCCACTTGACAGGTGGCTACCAATCAACTTTGATGACAACTGGCTAGAGGTATAAGTTCGTCCTTTGTCTTTGAGTAACCAGTTTACCTACTCCCCAAACTTGTCTGGTAAACAAATGGCAGTCATAATTTCAGCTTGTGTTCATAATGCTTAATAGGCATTATGTACATATGTTACATAAGATTATTAATGATCAGTGTGGTGTTAGTTTTTAAATGACTTCTCACAAGGCATATTTTGCACAAAGATTATTACAATAATGTCTAGGGTGTGAATACAGGATCAAGGATTTTCTAGAATTTACAGTCAGGTCTCCTAGGCTCTATTCCTGGCTGGGCCATTGACCAGATGAGAAACCTTCTTGGCCATGTCACCTAAGTTCTCTGATTTAATTTCTACAACTGTATACTAAGGACACTGCTGTTTAATGCACCTAGTGTGCTGTAAGGATTCATTAGTTAATGAGCAAGTTGAAGAAGGAACGTACTATATAACTGCAAAATATCAGTATTTTTTCATCCAGATTTGTGGACAGTCAAGTTGATTTTTCTCTTGCAAATTTTCAAGTCTGTGCACCACTAGTACATTACGCCATTCTTAGCAGTATCTCTTCTAAATGAAATAGATTCATTTGCCTTGTCACCAGAAAGAGCTCACAAATTAATTACCTAAATGACAGGAAGCTGCATCCCCTTTTCATAAACGATTTCACAAGCACTGTTCTCTGCTTTTTTTCTTTTGTGTGTAGCTGGACTTCTCTATCCTTACCCTAAAGACTGCTCCCAAGTTCTGCTGAATGGAGAAAGTACCTCTGGACTTTACACCGTATATATGAATGGAAACAAGTCCCAGTCTGTGGAGGTGTATTGTGACATGACCTCTGATGGAGGTGGATGGATTGTGAGTATCCAGAACCTCTATGTCACTCTTCCCTTATGCCTGAGTCAAGAACATGAGACAGGGCACAGCCTCAATCAATTACTTCATTATTAATGATGTTGCATTAACGTGCCAAAACACATGGGACATTTAACTTTTCGTTCTAAATCCGACTGCAGTCGGGGTGGGAGACTGAAGCAGAGGTGCAGCCAGTTCCAAAGCTTTGCAGGAGATACGAGGCCTGAGAAGGATGCATTAGGTCTACCGTCACACTGAAGGGTGGGTAAGCAGGGCAGTAAAAACAGAGGCAAGAGGAACAGCAAAGTATGGTGCTGAGAATCTGTGGAATTCAAAGAAGCCAGTTGGAGCTGAGAGTCTGAGAAGTGTCAGAGTGAAGGCAAGGAGCTTGAGAAATACTGAGGCTTCGTGGACAACAGGTTGAAGGATACAGAAGGACCTGGCAATAAGGCTGAGTGATATTGAGCTTTGAGGGAGTGCTAAGAAAGCAGAGGGCAGGGACTACCAGGCTGCAAACTATAGAGGTGGCTTGGCGCCCAAGAAGAAACATGGGCCTTGCTTTAAAAAAATGTTCAGTGGCCCTGCTAAAATCTGTACTAGCTTGGGCTGAAATATGTCAGTGCCCATGTTGCTTTGGGATGGTTGGTGTATGGAAGTCCTTAGTGTGTAAAAGTCCTAACTGTTGCAAATATAAAGCTACTGGCATGTTGGGGTTTTAGGTGTTTCTGAGGCGTCACAATGGAAAGGAGGATTTCTACAGGAACTGGAGGACTTACACTGCTGGGTTTGGGGATCCCAAGGATGAATTCTGGATAGGTAAGTGATTGGCAAGAGCTTTCTGAAACAAAAGAGAACGAGTCACTTGTAGGCATGACAGCCATGTCGCTGACCACAATATTGGCTTCTCTAAAGAGGCTCATGGCAGGAAGATGTAATATGTGGTAATAAGACATTAAGACAGAAAATCGAGAGAGAGGGAGACAACACAGTGGTTCTTTACTCATATATCCATTCATTACAACAGGTCTGGAGACCCTCCACAAAATCACTTCCCAGGGCCAGTATGAGCTGCGTGTGGATCTGCGAGACAAGGGCGAGACAGCTTATGCTCTCTATGACCGGTTTAGCGTGGGAGACTCCAAGACCCGTTATCGGCTAAAAGTGGATGGATACAGTGGAACCGCAGGTTGGTTAAAACTCATATTTTTTCAGGCCAGAAATAGGCCAAGAAAGGGGTGGGGGAGGGAGGAGCTATGCATTTCTCCATATCTGGCTGGAGCTACAATTTCCTTCCACTTGGTTCAGAGCAACAACTTCTGTGTGCAAGTGATGGGGATTGCTGTCACAGAAAGTAAGTCTTTTCTTGGGTGGGGGGAGATTTGAAAATATGAAAGGATCACTTTCCTCTCTGATTCCATTCTCAATGCTCTGCTCCTTCAGGTGCCACTTTTCATAACATGCTTACGACCAAATGTAAACAAACATATTAAACAGACACATGTCTCATGCGAGCACTGCCTACCTGTCATTAATAGGGCTTAGGATAGCTGGCTGCAGTGCCGTTTGTGAAGAATGTGCCGCTGATGCCTTGTTATAACGTGCTTGATGATGTTCCTGAAGAATGCCTTTGCCTCCTTCAATCCCATTAAGCCCAGGCCTGCAGACCATGTCCAGCCCCCTCTCTGGCTTCATTGTTGACAGAGTAAGGACCAAGGGCAAAATTCTGTGGCATGGGAGCGTAAGGGCTTAAACAAAAGAGAAATACTGTGATTCTGCTGTGCATGGCCACAGAAAGAACTCTCTGGGGACTATGCACCTTGACGCTGTCCATGGTGGCTCTCTGGATAGTTGAGTAGCAGGGACAGGAGTGTGGCCAATGGCTTAGCAATTGTGCAGCCCCAACAGTCAAACTCCCCCAGTATAGGGCAAACAGACTGAGGTAGAGGCTGCTGCTTCAGCTCATGGGTTACAGTAGCAGCATCACTGCTATGCCATCAGCTGAAGGGGAGACTCAGTTCCATCAGTGTCCTACACAAAGAGCCCCCTGCACTGTCTGTTCACTCTGGCTTTGGACAGGGGACCAGGGAATTGAGCCCCGAGTGCACGAACTGCAGACAGTTGGCCCCAAAGCAATTTTACGCAGAGCCGTAGAAGTGACCGTGGAGATCAAATTCACTTCAGCCAGTTGTGGAGTTGTCAGATCCAAAGGACACATTGCATAGAATTAAATTTGATGAGTGCATTTTTGAGAGGTAAGCGGAAAGGCAACTGAGCATCTGCCAAGGCTGAAGTTAAAGGTCTCAGGGGTTCTTTGTTTCTCCTGATAACGTTATTGACATCTAAAGTAGCATAAGAAATGCAGTGCCCTGCTCTGCTGCAGCTGTTAAACAATATAACATTGATTCGAACAAGAGAAACGCTGCACCTTGAGGGTTTGAATCTTGGATTCAGCAAGTGCAGTGAGTGAACAGGAAATCCATTTAAACTACTGAGTTTTAAAATGTATACATCTGTCATTTTTTTAAGCCTACACACCAATTATGTTTAGGTCAGATGTTCAGCTGATATAGATCAGCATAGCTCCGTTAACTGGCCTTCGTTTACTTTTGGTATTTATTTTTAGCCGAGATGGGCCTGAACCAAACCCCCAGATCTGAAGCCCAAGAAGCTTGTGGTGGGTTCAGAATCTGGATACAGAGGCAAAATTCACAGTGTGGGTGCATCTCTCCTTTATTTATTGGCAAATAGCATTTCAAGTGAAAGTCAGGACCACGGTTTCAAAGTGGTCTCTGCAAAACTTGTGATATGCACTGCCAGGTTTTTCTACAGGAGCAACCAAGGTATTTTATGCCCAAAAACTCAGAGTTGCCCCTACCCATTGAATCATTTGCACATGCAGAATAGAAGTCAGGTGAAAACTCTGACACCATTCTCTTGGTTTCTCCTGTATAGGTGACTCCATGACCTATCACAATGGACGGTCCTTCTCCACCTTTGATAAGGACAATGACGCTGCCATCACAAACTGTGCGTTGTCCTACAAAGGTGCTTTCTGGTACAAGAATTGTCACCGAGTCAATCTGATGGGCAGATATGGGGACAACAGCCACAGTCAGGTGAGTTTGCCATTTGAAAGCAACATTACGTAACGATCTTCAAGGCATGGGAATGTAGGAGTGGCCATACCAAATCAAGTCACTGGTTCATTCATTCTGTTAGTCAGTCCCTTGTTGTGGCCAATATATAGTGCTTCAGAGAGACAGGAGAAACCCCACCATTAAAACTGAATGAATCGTGGGGTGGGGAGTTATATTAAATCACATTCACCAAATGAGAATTGCAGTTCGGTCAAAATATGTTCTCAACCTTCTTTGTTCGTTCTCCCATGAAAGTTCACGGGAATGTTTGGGGCTGGAGCTTTTATCACTTCAAATACAGGTTCTCATGTTTTAAGAAAAGAGCATTCTGTTGAAAATGAAGTAAACCTAGGAGAGAACAGTGGAGGAGTGACAGTTTTGGGAGAGCTCACTGTTACTCTAGCCCAAGCCGCTGCTTCCTCCAGCAGGGGTCAGTAAAAGGAATGGCATAGGAACACTGGCTTTGATGGATCTCAAAGCGACTACCGCCTCCTTAATCCCACACCAGGAGTTGGTCTCAGGGACAAAAGTTGTGGGGAACCCACTGCTGTTCTAGTCACAGATTGTTGTAGCTGGAGTTGGAACAGGGGACATGGTAAATTCTTCACCAGCCTTTAAATTGAGGTTGGAGATCTCTTGGAGATGTTCTAATTCAACCACAGTTTATTGGGATTGATGCAGGAATCACTGCGTGAAATTCAAGTCTGGGTTGCATGGGTCAGATGAGATGATTATAATGGTCCGTTCCTGCTTTACAGTCTTGAGTTCATAATGCAGAAATCCTGGAGAATAATATATACTGCAACCTCTCTGTTATGAGGTTCTAGAATAGAATAATACATGTACAGGCAGCATTGCCTAGTTGATAGAGATCCAGACTGGCAGTCAGGAGACCTGGCTTCCGTTCTTGGCTCTGTTGCTAGCCTACTTGAGCTGACCTTGAACAAGTCATTTCACCGCTCTTGTGATCTATGGCAGAAAAGCGCTGTATAAGAGCCAGGGATGCAGATTGTACTAATATGAGGTCATGTTGCCTGTGTGTTTTTGCAGGGTGTTAACTGGTTCCATTGGAAGGGCCATGAATACTCCATCCAGTTTGCAGAAATGAAGTTGAGACCCATCAGCTTCCGGAATCTAGAAGGGAGACGAAAGAGAGCATAAAACCCAGAGATGGAGGAAAGTTTGGGAAGCCGAGTGGGGGTAGTGGGAGGGTTTTCTGGAATAACAGGGGGGAGGGGGAGATAAGGCAGCTGGTAATCTTACCAAAGCATCGATGACGCTTGGCCTAACTGGGGCTCCTTCTACAGTCTGAGTGACCAGCCTTATGCAACCACAGCATCTTCTGCAGACCAGCTTTCGCTGCCCATGGTTAATGCCCTTCACACCAAAGACAACAATCTCAAGGGTCCTATATTGATTTTAGATTTTGGGAGGGGGGTTTTTCTCAGAGAGGTTCCGTGACAAGATTCTTCCATGGTCTCTTGGGCAGCTCAAGGGAAGGGCGGGGGGAAAGGCTGTACATTGATAGTTTGAGAACCAGCCATATTTTACACACACAAATTTGTATGATTATCATTATTATTATTATTGGTCAAACTTCTGTTGGTCATTGGAAAGCTTTTTTTAAATATATATATATATATCATGTATCGCAGAGAAAGATGGGGAAGGGGAAGCAATTTAAAACATAAGCAAAATCTTAATTTTATTAATATAATGACAAAATAATAATAATAATAATAAGCTACATTTTTGTCATGCTTTCCGAAACACAGCAGGACAGTGTCTGATTGTATTTTTTTTTAAATAAAGCACAATTTTAAATAAACCTCTACATTTTCTTCATGCATCAACTTTGTGCACGTCCAGGGTATATTTCCTTAAGTAGGGGAGTAAAGAAGGCTGAGAATGATCAGGATGTTAAATTTATTCAGAAAGCACGCTCCCTTTTGTCAGTGTTTGGGTGTAAGTATTCTGGTGGACTCCTTGCAGTGGAATGCTCAGGGAGGTTTTTAGAGGGTGTTCCTTTTTTCCTATCCAGAAGCACATTCGCCGTGCCATCGAACTGACTGACTCTTACGTTCAACTAGGTGGGAATCACTAACAAAACCAAACCAGCAAAATGCAAAGGTGGGATTAGCTACCAATTGGTGATGGGGGACACCTGTGTAAATAAAGGGCTCCTTTTAAAAAAAAAATGAACGAAGCCTCTGTGTAGTTCCTCTGTACCATACTCTTTGATTTAAAGACAATAAAAAACCTTTTGTTTTAAGCCCTGGTCTCTCTTCCTTACCTTGCTCTCTCCATGCTCCTCGGTTGTGGGCTTCTGACTCTTCCTCTGCCATCTCTGGATTGTGGCTTGGAAAGAAAATGCTTGCTCTGTGAGCACAGATGTGAGCAGATCTGTTCTAACAAGGACTTCATGCTGCTGGCCAAGGTGGGTGTGCCTTGTTGCAACAACGTCCTGCAAAACTCTGTCCAAGAGGGCCTTTTTTCTTCTCCCCAAATACCTGAAGTTTCGATATCACATTGGAGCTAAAATATGGTTAGGTTAAAAATACATGTGTGATTAGCTAATGACATAAAATATATCTGTCTTCCACCACATTTCTTCCTAAAGGCCTCAACGATGCCACAACATTTTTACCAAGCCCTGTTCTTTTCAAGGCCCCCAATTACAAGATTCTCCCCTCTCCCAGCCTCAAGAGTGTTTCCATAGTGTAATCCTTTGAAACAGATCAAACCCTGTTTCCATTACAGCGTTCCCCTAATGTTGTTGATCCTTCTCTGGCCCAGAGCCAGTGGCTGAGTGTACGAGCACAGATGAGTACAGCCAGCTCATCCAGTTGGGGAGCTGCATGTTAAGCTGATGTGGAGATTCTGCTAGACCAGTGGAAGACGTACGGCAGACTCCTTGCCAGCAAGCTCTCGCCACTCACAGCAGTGCTAGCATCATTGAAGGCACTTTCCCCTGCCTCCTCAGTCCTAACCTTTTACAGGAGAGACTAGAGATTGAAAAGGAACAGGAGAGTGTCCTCTTCAACAGAAAACTTCTCATGAGACAACTCATAATGTCTATGAAACAACCACTTCTGTGGGTGTGATTCAAAGCCCAGATGTTCTGGACTGAGATTTTGGAAGAATCAAGGTAAAGACAGCCCACTGAAGAAAGCATACCAGACTTTATAAAAGCCTCATGCATGGTTGGACAGCTCACTTTCTAGGGGAATTTCAAAAGCACCTAAAGGATTGGCTTTTGATGGGACTTATGGTCCTAAACGCCCTGGAAAATTTAAGAAATATCCCACTTTGGCGGAGCTGTGCTGACATCCATCCAACAGCTGGATGCATTCTCTAAAGATGAAGTGGAAGGATAGCCCAGTGGTTATGGTGCTACCATGTAACTAGGAGACCTGGGCTCAATTCCCGCTCCCCTACAAACTTCCTTGTGACCCTGGGCAAGTCACTGAGGCCTAGATCCTCAAAGGTATTTGATAAAGTATATGAAATAGGAGTTTGGTGCCTAACTACCTTAGAGGTTCTGGGATTTAGTGTTTCTGTGCCTCAGTTTGCCATCTGTACAATGAGGCTAATGGCACTGCCCTACCTCACAGGGGGGTGTTGAGAAGATAAATACATGAAAGATTGGGAGGTGGTCTGATGCTATGGTAATGGGTGGGGGGAGTCATATAAGTGCCTTAGAGAGAAAGATGTTAGTCCTTTGCCTTTAACCCTAACTCTTAGCATGTGAATGAAAGGTTGCCATTCACTTGGGACACAACAAACCCAGCCTACATCTTCATACCATGTCTGATAAAGAAGGAAAAGACCTATGAGCAACGCCTTGTTTTAGACCCATGTTTTCTTCTGTCCCGTACAGAGGTACAGTTAATCCAGGGTTACTGCAGTCATTTGATTGGGTCAGAAATTGCTGAATTGAAACGGTATAAAAAAGTGAACAAAGATACTCGAAAAACTCCCATCTCCCTTCTTGTCCCCCTTCATCATCACTTGCATCTTTGCTGTTTCATTAAATTGCATCCTTCAATTTGTTTCTTACATTTGCGCTTTGGCTGCTTGACAGCTGTAAAGTCCTGGGGGCATTCCCCTGCAGATTTCTGGTCAGGACTTTGGAGCAACCAAAGAAGAGACTGCCTACTAGCGAATCCATCCAAGGTTTTATGCTACGAATGAATAAATGTGGAGAGTAGTCAGCCACTGCTATGTGGCTACCTAAGCAAAGCAGACATGAGCAATAACTCTCACTATAATCTGCCTTGCTATCAGGTTTCAGTGCCCACGTTTCAGAAGCAGCCTACAATAGGATGTGTTGCAAGAACCAAGACAATACAACACACTTTTATGAGTCTTCCACATGACTGTTTCACAAGTTACTCACCACAAAACAAATGTTACACATGGAAGGTCAGAGAGTGAAATGCAGGGAGCCTGTTAAATGAGTTAAAGGTTGATAACAGCAAACCCCTTTGTGGGGAAGTGGCTAAGTGTATTGGCTGATACTAGCAAATGATTTTTTGAGGGATCTTTTTGTTCACATCTTCCCCCATCCCAACGTTTGGTGGGGAGTCACACTCTCTCTCCCACGCTAATTTGTTCAGGCTTCAGCTAGAATTATTTCTATCTCTTTTTACCAGCAGATGGCACGCTAGTTCTATCTTGCATTATAGCTGAGCGCTCTCTAGTCACAATTAATGTTCCAGGCCTTGTGTTTGACTGCACTTGTAAATTCTTCATCTGTTAGCATCATCCCCACCATGCCCATGTTACAAGGAGGTACTCCTGGCCCAAAATTCAAAGCTGTTTAGACTCTCTTTACATCTCTGAATCAGAGTTCCACTTGGCTAATCAATCTAGGTATCTTGCCAGTTCTAGAGTACTGAAATAAAACTTAATCATAGAATATCAGAGTTGGAAGAGACCTCAGAAGGTCATCTAGTCCAACCCCCAGCTCAAAGCAGGACCAATCCCCAATTTTTGCCCCAGATCCCTAAATGGCCTCCTCAAGGATTGAACTTACAACCCTGGGTTTAGCAGGCCAATGCTCAAACCACTGAGTTATCCCTCCAGGGATATTGGTGGAAGGTGCTGGATTACACTTCTCATTGATATTTGTCAAAGCACAGAGTGAGCCCTTCAAATGATAGGTACCAGAAAAGAACAGCAAAGCATTCATTGTTGGATCACATCTCCTCTCAAGTCACACAAAGATGGCTGAATACTACACAGACCGTTCTTCGCATTAATGTGAAATGTCACTGAATAATTTTGAATAACAAGCAAATTTAAGAAACTCACAATTTGCTTGCAGACATTCAGCCAGCAAAGAATTAGGTGAAATGCATAGAAGTGATTTCCTCATTACTAGAAGCATCCCAAAACAACCTCTATCTAATCATTGTGGTGTTATGCTAACGGCTTAGATTTCATCGGGGAGATCCAAACACAGCTGGTATAGACCAGCTTAGGTTTCCACCTAGTCACAGAAGTCATGCAAATAAGCTGAATGGGAAAGAGATGATATTTCCAGTAATTATTCACTGACAGATACCTTACCGGATATTTTTTCAGGGCCACTGACTAGCAAGAAATTGGCAAAACCTCAAAGTAATGAATGTCAAAAGAAAACCACTGACCTAATGCAATTTTGATTCAGGATAAAAAAACACACTGCAGCATCTTTTGTAGGATATAGAATGCTCTTTCTCGCTGTCCCTCCTCCATCCCTACTTCTAATTTGACAGAGTCATTTTGTAAAAATTATGAGAACACTTTCAGCTTTAAGTTAATGTAAAACCTGCCAAGATTGATCTAGAGACTCATCTAGATTATTTTTTTTCCCCAAATAAGAAATTAGAAGCCACTTTCAAATTAAGTCATTGTGGATAAAATTCTTAAAAGTTCCTAAGTGACTTAGGAGCAGATGAGCCATATATTTAAATGAATTTAAATGCTGAGCTATGCAGCTAGATGCCTAATGGGATTTTTAAAAACACCTAGGTGCTTAACTTCCATTGGTAGCGACGGAAATTTGGTGCTTAGGCACTTGAAAATTCTACTAAGCATCTATCTGTATCTTGAGGTGCCTAAAAATCCGACCCTAATGCCTATTGATGTTCATCTCCCATTGGGAGATAAGCGCCTAACCTGCTTAAGTGCTTTTGAGACTCCCACTAGCTGCCTTTCTCAGCTTAATCACCGAGGCCCAGATCACCAAAACGATGTAGGTGCCTAATTCCTATTGAAATCAGTTGGAAGATTTGGGCCCTAAATACACTGGAACATCTGGGCCTAAGTCCCTTTTGAAAATGGAACTTCGGCTCTGCCCTTATGGCAGCGTGTAGAGGATAAGCACAACACGTGTAGCTAAAGGCTGTGTGAAAGGCTCCAGCAACGGGGAAAGGCTATGGCGGGGAGGCGGGGGAAGTGTAGAGAGCCCATATATATATCCTGGGGGTTCAGGCATGTAAGGCATCCTACCTGCCTCAACCATGCCTCCCCAGCCACACTGCTACTTATACCTGTTCTAGCTGGACATGCAGTGTGTGTACTCCACACACCGTAAGTGTGGACACTCCCTGACGGTACTAGGGCAGGGATCGGCAACCTTTGGCACACGGCCAGTCAGGGAAAGCCCATGGCGGGCCGGGACGGTTTGTTTACCTGCAGCATCCACAGGTTCGGCCGATCGCAGCTCCCACTGGCCGCGGTTCGCCGTTCCAGGCCAATGTGGGGCTGCGGGAAGCGGTGCGGGCTGAGGGATGTGCTGGTCACCGCTTCCGGCAGCCCCCATTGGCCTGGAGCAGCAAACCGCGGCCAGTGGGAGCTGCGATCGGCCGAACCTGCTGATGCTGCAGGTAAACAAACTGGCCCAGCCCGCCAGGGGCTTTCCCTGAAGGGCCACAGGCCAAAGGTTGCCGATCCCTGTACTAGGACATTTAAGCACTTTTAAAATTTTTATCCTCTTTTTATTCGTTTTAAATTTTTAACCCTTTTTAAAAGAAAGTCTTGATTAAGATGTTTAATTGATTAATTGGATTGAATTGATTAAGACCTTAGGATGTTTCGAAGGAAATTTGAAACAGAATCTGGCTTGAACATTTGCATTACCACAGTGCTCAAGAAATGCTTGCAGTATATCTATGGCAGGAACTGCTCAGACCCTGGGGACCAGTATGATTGGTCCAATCCAGAAAATAAACACGTGAGTAATTTTACTTATGGGAGCTGCTTCCTCTTTCGAGAAACACAGAG